AGTTAAAGTGGACTCAAGTTGCATTATTTCGGGCAGTCTGTAAAGGCCCTAAATTGCTCTTCACAGCAGGGCACAGACTCCAAACCTTTCACTATTTTGGTTGCCTCGTCTTGATACATTCCTAGTTTCTGGATCCAGCAGAAAAGAAGCTTGCTCCCTCCTCAATATGAAGTCCTTTCAAATATTGAAACAGGGCGATCGTGCCACCTCTTACTTAACCTGAACCAAATTCTGATTTCCAGCGTCTCAGTTCAACGCTCAGACGAAACCAAATCAAAAGCAGACAGAAAGTATGCGAGGCCAATCAATAAAGAAATAAAGAAATAAAGAAATAAAGAAATAAACTCCCTCCCTCCCTCCCTTCCTCGGGCAGCATCGTGTGCGGTGGCGGCGGAGGGTAAATGCTCTGGCAACCTGATCGCCGTAGCTAAAGACCTCTTCAGATTTTCTCAGCGAAATGTGGGGGATCTGTGCTGATGCGCATCGACACCCTGCAATCCACATATATATATATATATATAGAGAGAGAGAGAGAGAGAGAGAGAGAGAGAGAGAGAGAGAGAGAGAGAGATCATTTAAGCCAAGACAGCTACCCTTGGACATTTAAGCAAAGATTACTCAGAGGTGGCATTGCCAATTCCTTTCTCTGAAATGCCGCCTACATATGAGTTGGTGGTCTCCCATCCAAGCCTGCTTAGCATCCAAGATCAGACAGGAAGCGGATCTGGTGCCTTGTTTAGGATATTCGCTGTTGTTCTTGTTTTATGCCTTCAGGTCGTTTCTGACTTATGGCGACCCTAAGGCGAAGCTATGCTGGGGTTTTCTTGGCAAGGGTTGTTGTTGTTTTTTCCTCCAAAGGGTGTTTGGCATTGCCTTCCCCTGAGGCTGAGAGAGTGTGACTTGCTCAAGGTCACCCGATGGTTTCGTGCCCGAGCTGGGAATCAAACCCTGGTCTCCAGAGTCGTAGTCCAACACCCTAACGACTACGCCTCGAGTATTTACCCAGGCGTTAATTGCGGGAGTGGGTTCCCTTTGGCCCCTACAGCCCCAAATACAACAGGTAAAGCTCAGCCCTGTCTGGAGGGCCAGGGGATCAGATGCAACACTGTTGTTGTTGTTGTTGTTGTTTGCCTTTCCAACTTACAACAGCCCTAAAGTGATTCAGTCCTAGGGCTTTCCTGGCAAGATTTATTCAGAGATTATTGAGACTGAGACAGTGTGCCTTGAGTCCCAGGTCACCCAGTGGATTGCCATGGCCCCGCAGAGATCTGAACCCTGGTCTCCGGGAGTCCAACCCTCAAAACACTTTGCCAGGCTGGCTCTCAGATGCAACAGGTTTGACTTGTTGGAAGATTTCCGCATTCTCTCTCTCTCTCTCTCTCTCTCCCTCCCTCCCTCTTTGCTATTTAGGGCATTTGGGATTTTTAGATAGCTAGAAGTTCCTGCATGGAAAAACTCTGAGAGAAGCATCGTCAGACAAGGACGGGTTTCTGTTCTTCTGCAAAACAGAAGCTGAACTCTAGCAGGCTTAGCTTTGATATTTTTGTATTTAAATATTTTATTTCCTGAATGAAGGCTGAAGCCTTAGGAAACTTAAATTGCCCAACATGATTTCGTTGCATTTCACCCTCATTTGCTTCCAAGGCCCGGAGGTTGTTTGAAATTAATTCCTTAAATCTGATTGTTAATCCGAACCCCTTGACTCGGCAGGAACTTTGTTAGGTCCAAAACACACTGCAGAAATAATTCAGTTTGAGAACACTTTAACTGCCCTGGTTCAGTGCTAGGGAATTCTGGGAACTGTAGTTTTGCGAGACATTGAGCCTTCCTTGTCTGAGAGCTGTGGTGCCACAATAAACTACAATTCCCAAGATTCTCTACCACTGAGCCAGGACAGTTAAAGCGGTTTCAAACTGGATTATATCTGCAGTGTGTTTTGGACCTTACATAAGCTCAATTGTTTCAGTGTTTCTCCTCAAATTAGGACTAGCAATTGGCTTTAGGCGTCTGTTCGAGTTAAGGAGAAGATTAAAACCTTATCTTGCATATTTCATTTTCACGATGCCAGAAGGAAGGTCAGTGTTTCCCTCGGAATCGCCATTAGAAATGTCAATCCTGAGCCTCTGATCCAAGCAGAAGTTAACTCTTAGTGATTCTACTTTAATGCTGAAGGCTGCATGTTAAAAGTCCATTTTTCGGTGACTCCTCCAACACAGATAAAGCAACATATTTTGATTTAAGCACACACACACACACACACACACACACACACATATATATAATCTCCCTCAACCTCCCTCCCTCACATACCCAAACTCACACTCTTCACTTCGAAATCTTCCCGGTTCGTCCAATTTATCTTCCTGGAGTTCAGGATCTGACAGTAAAGCTACTTCTATTCAAATACTTAGGGTTAGAAATGGCGCTGAGCTGATAATAACTGGTTTAATATTTATTTCTTACAATACCTATTTGTCCTATATCACAAGATAGAGTCCAAATGAAATCAATTGAACACCATCTAAATTGGAACGATGCAACCAGTGTAAAAGCATACTAAACAATTAAAATGTGTATCTGTAGGGGTTTTGATAAAATCATTAGACTTCAAAGGCTGCATTGGACGTCAATTGAAGTTTGACACCGCTATGGCTCAGTACTGTGGAATTCTAGGATTTGTAGTTTCGTGAGTTACTTAGCCTTCTCTGTCAGAGAGCTCTGGTGCTACAACAAACTACAGTTCCCAGATTCCATAGGACGGAGACATGACAGTTAAGGAGGTGTCAGACTGCATTATTTCTGCAGTGCAGATGCAGCCAAAGGCTCTATTGAAAACCCTTGCTTTAAGCGGGCACCAAACGAAGCCAGAGGTGGGAAGGGTGCTCCTTAGCCAAGAGGCCACTCCAAAAAAGGCCCTCTCAAATAGTCTTCAAAGATATAGCCCTGTTCGTCTGTAGAATCAGCATGTAGAGAGATCATACTGTATATCATACTGTAAACCAGCATATAGAAAAGGATCTTGTAGTACCTTTGAGGTTAACTGAAAGAAAGAAGCTGGCAGCATGAGCTTTCCTAGACTCAAGTCTACTTCCTCAGATGCGTTTGGTCAAATAGTCTGGTGGAAGGCAGAGGGAAGGATAGGGCCAAGAAAGATGTGTTCCTTCAAGGAGGGAAGGCCCAAGCCGTTTTCAGGACTCACCCTCACCTTGAATTCAGATCGGAAGTGGAGTGGGAACCAGCGCAGTCCCTGTCCAAACGGTGTCACTTGGTGGCATCCAGTCCTATGAGCAGTACAAGTTACTGGATGTTTAGTGTTTCAACTACTCGTTTGAAAAATCGTTGGTAAATATATGTTGGTTCCTTTTCTTCCATTCTTAAAGCTACTTTTAAGTCTTCCTTTCCATCAGACTGATTTTATGCAATGAGTCCTTCTTTGTTTGCTTGCTGGTGTCGTTGTGAAAAGGCAAGGATGATGATAATGGTGGTGATGATAATCAGGATCAGATCCAAATGAAAATCAGGATCAAATCCAAACAAAGTCCTACCAAAGGAGGAGTTTTGAGAATAGCAGAGCTTTGTGTCATCGCCTTGTCATGGTTCGTGTTCTTACATTTTCAAGAGTAGCTTTCATCTTCCTTTCTGTCATCCTGATTTTGTGCAAGCTGCCTTGAGTCCTTGAGTTCTTTAAAAAGAGGAGTTGTCCTCAACTCTACTTGGGCCAGGAAAAGTTATATTTCTTTTTCTGTTAGTGTTGTTGTAAAAAGCCGAGAGTGATGATCATGATGGTGTGAACAATCAGGATCAGATCCAAGCATCTACCAAAGGACTAGTTTTGAGAATGAGAATGAGAATGAGACTAGAGGATGACCGAGCTCTCTATCCTTGCCTTGTAAGGATGTAATCTTACATTAAAAAACAATCTTCTGGGTTTGGTGATTCGACGTTTCCTGCTGTGGCTTTACAATGAAATTCAAAGTCTTGATCTCAGTATATTTTCCAGCCATAACAAAATGCACCCAAAGCCAAGCTAACTTTCCTATTTGTTATTTCCCTGGACCTCAACCCTCAGGACTGCCAACAACTGCCCGATGCAGTTCCCACACCTTTTGCAGATGTGGCAAAAGGAAATTCAGAAAGAAGAGTTGTCCTCAACTCTACCTGGGCCAGGAAAAAAAAATATGTTTCTTCTGCTGGATTTCTGCTTGTCTTGAATCTAGGCAAGGGGGAAAAAAAGTGGGGGCGACCCACAGATCCCACCATTTCAGGATTTCCATCCATCCATGAACTGTCTTGGATTTGGTCTTCCTACATTATAATAACAGTGTCCACATTTCATGCTTATCTTGAAGCCACGGTCTCATCTGATTTTCGGATGTTTGACAAAAGTCATGAATAGAAATAGTCTTTATCTACAAAAAAAAAAAAGCTTGGCTGTCTTCTTCCTTTGTCTTTATTAGTCGTTTTTAGTGAGGGACCTCACTCAGAGTCTCCAAACTGCTTCAGAATTAAGAGAGAAGGTTAGGAAATATCTCTGAGAGGGATTCCTGATATCCTTGCAGTTTAGACAAGTTTCTGGTTCTCCTGCCAAGCCATAGGCTATGCATTCTCCTCTCTCCAGTCCATGTAGAAGCTCTCCTCTGGGCAAAACATTTACCAGGGCATTTTGACAGGTATCAACTCTGTGTAAACAGTGAGCAGGTACAACGTGAGAGGAGCACCCCGTGAATTTGAACTGGCGCCTAATGTCCCCTGAAGTGTTAAGAAGCCAGCAGCAATGTCAACAAAACCATTTTCTCCAGTAGCTTCTGCAGTCAAAAGGGGGGTGGGGAGATGGAGGAAGTAGGAGGAAATCTGCAAAGATTTACTCAAGGAACTGCTAATAGCCTGCTGCTGGAATCCTAGCTCTTAATACACCCACAACACTTGAAGTGCTGGCCTTCAATTAGGGCCAAGGGATCGGAAAGTCAGTGTTTATAAACAGAGACCTCAGGAAGATTGCAAGCAGTCCCAGGACAAAGCTGACCATTCCCCCCTCCTCCCCAACAGGGCATTAAATCGGCTTTCTAAAAATAATAAGGTGTGGCTTTAAGCCTCCCCTCCACCCCAGCCCGCTTTCAAGAGAAAATATTTTAAATAATATTTCCAGTCTTGTACCTAAAAACGCGATCCTGTGCCTACTTCACTCAAGTAGCCCCTCTGAATTTAGTGGAACCTGCTTTTGGATAAAGATCCTTAGGATTAAGCTGTGTACACTGTCCACTTTTGTTGATCTCTGATCTCTATGATTCCTGAATGTTCCTTGTTTAATCAGTTAGTTAAATTTACATAGATTTTCATAGGGGTAAAATAATATTTCTGAAAGAATATTTTAAAATAATAATATTAATGTAATAGTTAATCATTAATATAATGATGATGATGATGATATAATAATATTGATATAATAGTTAATCATTAATATTATAATACTCTTGATATAATAATATTGATATAATAGTTAGTTATTAATATTATAATAAGCTTGATATAATAATATTGATATAATAGTTAATTATTAATATTATAATTTTGATATAATAATATTAATATAATATTATATGTTATACATAAAGTATAATAAAAATAATATTTATGAAGCAGGAAACACATACTGAGAAATGCATATGTATCTTAGCAGGCATTATGGTGGAAGAAATATTCTCTTCTATGTGACAATAGTGAAATAACTGGTTTTTTCAGATGATGATCATCACCCACTATTTTTTTTAACAGAACTTGTTTCCCCCCCCCCTTTAATTACTGCTTTAATTGGAGTCACATTAAACATTATGTACTCAATTAATCAAAATAATTAATTGGTTCAGCTGTGTAACCTTTTTTGTTGCTGTTATGCGCCTTCAAGTTGCAACCCTAAGGGGAATCTATCACAGGATTTCCATGGCAAGATTTGCTGTTTTCCTCTGTGACTGAGACAGTGTGACTAACCCAAGGTCACTC